AAACTTTTATTATTATTATTATTATTTAATAAATAGAACTTTGGCATTCAAAATTCTAGCTGTAAACCCTACTTTAAAAAAATTACAAAAAGAGGCAAGAACAACAAGCCTAAAGCTGAGCCAGCCAGTGGCTCCTTTACTTTTTACAATGAACACATTGTGATTAAGTCATGACAACTCTATTTACATATGAGGGATTTTTCAAAAATTGAACCCAATTTACAAAACTACCAGTCTTCAGGGACTGATCCAGTATATATGTCAGCTGTGCTTTAAAAGATAGCTCTAGACGCTCCTCCCCACTCAGCTAATGATATACTGTAATTAATATACACAAAATACATTATGTTTGAGTTTCTTGCTCACGCTTCATATTCAAAAAAGCTGCATACAGTGACCAGCCCAACATTCAACGTGTGCACCTAACCTAGTGCCTAGTTTAAGTACTTCTGTTCTAGACATTCTGTGAGAGCTCTTACTACAAAAGCTTATGAAACAAAAGAGCGGCAGGTTAGAGAAAAACAAGGTGCAGTCGTCAGCATCCTAATGACTTATCTAAAGTTCAAGGGGAATATACATTTACTTCAGGCACAAAAAGGCACAAAGGTATGCAGCTGTGGAATTCATATTGCTCATGAGCTACTGGAATAAACCGTCCCTTTTCATAACAACCATTGATTTGTTTGCAGTTTAAGAATGCAGAGTAGTTGAGAAGATCTTTTCCCTACTCGTGACAGAACTCACCACATCAATGGGAAGAGCCCAATTATAACTCCAGCTCCTCCTTTAGCATTATGGATAAGGATAAAGAAAACTGGAGTGAACTATGTCCATGTGGAGAGACTGCAGCGTGTTGTTGCTGCCCGCGGCAGGGCAGCAGCCTGGCGAGGAAGGGGTTTGCCTTCCAACTCTCCTTGTGCTCTTACCCTGCAAGAAAACGTCCAAAGTAACGTTTGAAACAAAAGGTGGGCAGCGAGCGCAAAGGAAGGAGATAAACCTTGTGAAGTGGAAAGGAGGAAGTTTCAGCTCTTGTGCTGACTTTGGGTGCCCCGGCAGCTTTGGATGCCGGAGCCCGAGGGGGTGGCTACAGCAATCTCTACAACTCCACACAACCATCCCACTACAGAGCTGCAGAGCTGAGGGCAGGAACCGAAATCACACTTACACAACTGAGCTGAGTTACTTCTACAGAGTAAATACACTGCATCATCTATAGCTTGTCTGAAGACAATTACTTTCCACATCTTTTTCAAAATACATTCTTCAATACAGTAGTTACTGTAAGTATTTTCTAGAGAATTGTACAAATTCGATCTGAGACCATACAAAAAAATGACTGTACAAATCTGCTGACAGCCAGAATGGTACAGTGTCCATCCATTAGCAGTTGTTTTTCAGCCCTTGAGATTGTCTAATAGCTACAGCGAAAAGTTGTCATGACTAAATCTAAGAAATTCCAACGTTAACAATCATTAATAAACTCTGTATTAAATATGCTGAATGAGACCACACACACTACATTTTAACCAATTAAACAGTCATGCATATCTTAGACAAAGCTTATTCCATTTAGAGGCATCCATAAACTGATGCATATAGAGTAATTGCTACTACTACAACAGGCCAAATTTTAAGAAATCAAAGAATACTGTATATCACTGTAGATACTCAATTGGTAGTCTGCATCTTTGGCTCATACATCCATCATTTACCTCCCTACTTTAGTTCAAATGAGGCTGATATACTTGGGGCTTTTTAAAATCAAGTGCCTTAAAGTCAATATGAACATTACAGGTTCTGTAATAAAAACATTACAATGCAAGATTACAGCACTGCAATCAAAGTATTACAAATGAAATGGGACCTCCCTCCTGAGGGACTTTCAACTAATACTTGAAGACCGTAAAAGCTCCAGAAGTGCTTTGAAAACATAGGTCAATGATCTCAAGTCTGCAGCACAGTATCACCGTTTAAGAGGGACAGTGGAAGCTCACCAGCCAAGTGACCAGCTTAATAGTTCAGAGTGACTCCTCTCTAACTGCTCTATTAAATTCTTTATTATTTCCAACAAATTTAGAAAAATGTGTTGCTTGGTATTTCTGATAGATGCAATGTTACCACCTAGAGAAATAACATGCAACTTAGGTATTTAATCTCTCCCTAATCCTTCTATTTTATCATCTGAAATTCTATTGTTGAATTCTCATGCGAGACAGATGCCAAGAACTGGAGACTTACTTTGCTGTGGGGCCAAAACCAATGAAGGACACCAAAGGAATGAGCTGGGGCCCTAGTCACAAAAGACAGCACTGTTAGAGGAATGGGAAACTGTGCAAGCCCAGTTGTGAAAAGATCCTTGCTTCAGTTTCCACTAGTATATGCTTTCAAACCTACAGAAAGAGCACAGAAATTGAAAATACAATGGCCTAAATTTTTACCTTCAAGTAGAGACACTAGGCAATTTCACGTGAGATTGCATTTAGACACTGCTTTAGTGCTCATAGGAGCTGAACCAGTCAGATTATCTATCTGAAAACATCTCTAGCAATAATATAAATAGCAACACTATTTTTTACAAACTAGTCCACGTGTAGGTTCAGGATAGAGAAAACTGTCAAATAAATAAGTCCATATAGCTAAAAAAAAAAAAATTTAAATCACTGAATTATAAAAACAACATTAATGGTAACTGTTTAACAATGAACAGAAAGCAAAACATCACCAAGTTAAAATCGTTAACCAGACTACACTGCTACACAAATTTTTTTCTATTAACATAAATATAACCAGAAAAATTAAGATACTAACACTTTTGCAATCAAAATGTTACTCTAGAATTTACTTGGTTCTAATCACTAAGCTTCTTAAGAGACTTCTGCTATTTTCCACACTATGGGTCAGCGGACTGACTTGCACTGCAGTCATTTGAAACTTTCTTTTAATACCATTATGTAACTGATGCTCATATATTTTCTTAACAGTGCGATCTGAGAGTGGTTTTGCTCTTTGTAAGTTTGTTTCCTTCAGTTAAATATTATTTTACACCACGCGTAACAATCTGTGCAGCTAAGTTGCAGTAATATTCCAGGAAACTGAAGGCATTAATATGGCATCTGTCCCATGGAGTAAAACAGCACTGCCAAGTGACACTTGCTGAATGAGCGTTGGAACATGATCTCATTTTTTTAATGTAATTGCTTCCTACCTAAATAGAGAAATCAAGAACTCCAAAACAATGTGAAAAATTTTGCAGTCCTCAGACAACTGAGTACTTAACACTGCTAAGTGGAAACATTCTGTTCTGAGCCCTGATCTTGTCAAGTGTCAAACACCCGTTTTGTAGCTGTGCTAAAAAATGGTTGGGGTGGTTCACAACCTCATCAGATGCCTTCAGAGATGGAACACAGCCCAGCCACATTTTAAAATGGACATGAACTAAGGGAAAAATAAGTATGGTACAAATACTGAAATACAGGCTTTTTTTCCCCCGACAGCCATGTACTGCCCTGCGGCAGTTGCATGTCTTCCAGCTTCTCTGGGTTTGTCACAGACTTCATGTTATTGAAACTTCCAGCAGCTATGTGAGTGCTTAAAACAATTTCATAGCGCTATATTTATTTGACTTCATTTGTATAAAGGAGTTAAAACTTGTTTTTCTTGCTCTATTGGGCAAACAAGCTAGACATCCACTACTAAACCAGACATCTTTCCTACACAATTTTTTGAAAAGCAACTACTTTTTGTAGTGCTCCAAGATTGTTCCAATTGCAATTCTGAGAGTGAAGTGCAGTGCAGAAGCCTCTGGCTTCATCACATCCAGCTATAGGTCCTTTGACCCTCTGCTCTAATTTCAGAACACAGATCATGCCATACAAACCCCTGATGAAGGGAAGGACTGAGAGCAATAGCAGCATGGCTGTCCTGATGCTCCCATTCCAGAGACTGGGTGGAGTAATAATAGGAGGGCTAATGAAGGAAACAGAGTATCCAACCGAATCATTCTTCACAGCTTGTTCCTACATTCAGTAGTTTGGAGAAAACATTTCTTGTAGTTTGTACCACTCTGCTCAAACGTTGACTCTCCTCTGTTCACCAGACTCCCGAAATTAAAAGTGCACAATCCTCAGAGATGCACACGCGGCGTTATCTGCAGTCTTCCAATATGGCTCCTTACTAGAAATGCAAAGACCTGTGACACAGCAGCATTTAATAAGTCATTTAATACCAGATGAAACGTTGTCATTGAGTAATGCAATTGTCCCCCATGTCCTGAGCGTAACGGTCCGACACTATAGTCCTTAATTCATCAATATCCTTTCGTAGCTGACAAACGTCCAAGAGCTTCTTCGAAAGGGTTTCTGTGCTGTGGTAATTCTCATTCTCTTCAGCTGAACAGCTCAGCGCTACAAAAAACAACAGCCAGGGTTAAAGCTCCAGCAACTGCTGGGCTCTGCAAATACTTCAACCAGTCAGTCCCCTCTGAAATAGGGGGTAAGCAATTAAATTTAATTACATCAAGAAAAATCACACTTCACTATGATGAAAAGACAACAGAAGGTGGCACCGTATGAAAAGAATGTCAATTCAGAGCCTATCAGTACTTCTCTGAAACACATGCTTTTCTGTTTGCTCCAAGTTCTAGACTTGCTAACCTGATGAAACTCAGCAACGATGGAAAAAACAGGTAGCACAGCCATTTCCTAGAGATTCTGGAAGTTTCTACAGACACTTAGAAAAGAGGGACTAGAGGGCTTGGGAAATGAGGCCATATAAAATGATGAAATATTACTACAGGTATGTTCATCCTGCTGATAGATTATAATCTCATGGATTTGGATACTGGCATATGATGCACTCCCCAGTACTTCAGGGGGTTACACTGCCAATGAGTATGTGCCGTGTAGTAGCTCTTCCTGCACAGGTCGCTGTACTTCTCTACCTTTCTACCACGCTGAGGTCCAGCTCAGTGACCAATCTGATATATTGTATTGTTTTCTGAATGTTAATTAGAATTAGATTCATTCAGGTAAAAAAAAAAAAAGTCATTTATTAAGCTTGTTAGAAGAGCTAACACAAACTCACCACACTGAAGCTTTGTTGACTGGCCTTAGGGTGACTTCTCATTTCCTGGTTAGGTTTAACACCTTAGTAATTGCTGGAGACTAGATGTGCCATTAACAGCACTGGGGATGAAGTTGCCTGGCACCAGTCTTATCTAGTACTTACAGACAGTCCCATCCCCTGCCCTAAAACCAGACATATACATGTTCAAACAGCAGACATATAGTCCTACCACTTGACCTTGAAGGCTTTAAAACAAAACCACACGATGCAGCCTGCTTACGTCTCATCTCCCTCATCATGAATTTATAGGGCAGAAGACATTTGACAGAGCAGCACCTCAGGGTGACCACATCGTGCCTCAGGAGGGACGGACACCTGGCCACACACCTTTCTCTTCTAGTGGGGTGAACCTATGCATAACTGGGTGCATATGAAGTGCCAATTCCCTGCTCCCTGACTTGGCAAGGACGTGTGTAGTCATAGGCATTTAGTGCCCCAGGTGCACCAAAAGCCCAGCTTTTCCAGAGAGCTCCAGGAGAACAGGTCACACACAACTGCTCCAGTTGCATAGCAAGGGGGACACTGGTCAGTCCAGCAGGCAAGTTCAAGCACCACTTAGCTACGCTGTTATTCCTGTGTGCCAAAATACTGGCAAGCATTTGAATGACACCACCACTTACATCTGATTCCCAGCAGTAAGGAAAGGTTCGGCTCCTTGCCCTGAGCTCTCTGGGTAAGAATACTGCACAGTGCTTTCAAGTCAAACAAGCAGTGGGACATTTCCTTGAACAACTGGTCTGCTATAGGCATCTTCTCAGATACTGGCTGCCTGGACTGCTCCACCTCCCGCATCTGCTCCTTCAGGCAGGCGTTCTCCTCCACCAGTCTTTGGTTCTTTGTGCAAAGTAAATGGGGAAACAGAGGAAGTTAGTCTGCAGCATGCACTACAGCAGAAAGTTTCCTGTTTCAAATCACAAACAATATAATTAAAAATAATTAATTTCCATATGTATCTCTCAATATTTCTGTACCACTCCAAAGAATGGTAGATAGACAGCTTTCACATGGCTATTTCATGTCACCATTGCTTAGTGGCATTCATCCTTGAAGTTCTCACTTCTTGAGATAGGGATGATATCCATTATATGTCTGCACACCAGCCAGCACAGTCAAGTATGTAATTAAGATCCCATGATCGGGCTTCATGATTTTATAAACACTCTATAAGGTTCTTCCCAGCTGGTGTGGTCAAGGGTTGGGTTACTGGAGTTTTTACTTACTTCAGAGAGAGTTTTATTTAACTGCTCTATATTCCTTTCTTTTTCTTCAAGTTCATTTGTCATCTTCTGAACTATCAGCTTTTCTTGCAAAAGCTTTTCTTGCATAGACTGAAGTGAATGAAAACACAGATAACGATTTTAAATTTTCATACTTTGTATTAGCACTGACAAAAAAAAAAAAATGCATCCTCGTTAATTTTCTAAGTTAGTTATTTATTGCTTTTTTATTAGTTCTTCATCTTTTTCCTACTAGGTTCCACCTTGTAATATTCAGCTAGACCCGAACAGCTTCCTGCACACTAACACAGTTATTCCAAATATTAATGAAACTCTTTAAATAAGCAGTATCTGTTTAGAAACAAAAAGACTGTATACATGCAAAATCTTACTCCAATACAAAATGCATGAAGTCTAAAATAACTGTGCAATATTGTTTATTCTAATCAAACAATTTCACTTGAAATAAGCAGCAGATTAATGACAACCAAGCTTCACCTATGCAAGTCCAAGTTGTAACTGAAGATTTTTGTTGGCCTCTACTTTTCACAGAGACTATGGCAGGACCTACTACAACCTTTCATAAGACAGAATTCACCTCACTTGCCATACAGCTGAGAAGAAACCCTTTGACAGTTGATAAAGAGCAGCAATCTCTTTAAAACCACTGACATACAAAATTAAACAGAATTTTTTGTACAACCCTCCTGTGTTAAAAAAAAAAACAAAAACAAAAAACACAACTGCAGGCAAAAAAAGGAACTTATTTGTAGTTCATACCCTCATTTTTAACAGAAACAGTAATCGTTTTCAGTAATGTAAACAGCAAATTTCTAGGATGCTGCTGTACTTAGGTATTGAAGCTCTCCATGACTGACTTCCAGATCAGTCACAAGCAGCAATAAATCAACAGCCGCTGCAACACGTCACCAGCTGTTGTCAACTCCCCAGTTTTCACCTACAGAGCTGAAACTGAGAAATCAGGAGATACTTCCAGAGTGCATTTTTGGGGGTGAATTCAGTAAGCACTCTTTTTTATTCCACTAGTTGGCTTTTAGCTTTGTATGTAGGTCATCCTTTCAAGGTCATCTGTCAAAATTCAGAAAGAAGAATATTCAAACTGTCTTATCTGAATACTAGTAACAATGAATAGCAATTATATAAACTCCTGGTGCTTGAAAACAGACAAATCTTTTCAGCTTTCATAATGAAAAAAAATTCTCTTTTGTCACTAATGGTATTACTCACAATACTGTGCTAATACAGTGCATATAAAGTGTCCTCTCCATCCCTAGCTCAGCATGTTGATATGTAAGACCTATTGCTCAATTTCAATTATAAGATGGAAATCCAAACCCATCAGGCTCAAAACACAGCTGGAGCACTGGTAACAACGGTGCATTCCTTGGCACAGTTTTGACTGTAGCCTTCCACAGAGTGGAACCAGAGACCATGATGGGGAGAGCGGAAGAAGCGCTTCACAAACCAATGCCTCTCAATTTATGGAATGACACTGTCCCAGAAGAACATTTCTCCTTGAATCTCTATAGGATCAATCCTAAAGATCCTTTTTCCAAAGCAGAGAACTCTCGCACAGGAAATTTGATATGGTAGTTTAAATAAGAAGCTACAGAAAGATCCAAGCATCTCTTGAGTAAAAGATATGTTTAAATTGCTGCATTATGGCTCTGAAACATTATTCGGAAACAGAGAAAGTCCCAAGCTCCTCCCCTGGCAGAACCATGTCAAATTCTGTCAAGGTATGTTGGTTGGGGGGTCTCAGGAAAACAATTTTGCTTTGGAAAAGAATCTACATTTATTCTTATGAGAGTTGATCCTAAGATGTACGAAGAGTAGAACTTTCAGGGTACCAGTACCAGGGACTGTAACACAGTCTATATATAACATCTATATATAGGACTACACTTCACCATGTATACGACAACAGCGTGGACAAGAAGCCATTTAATTGACTTGGCAGCTCTAAAAATTATTAGCACTGATGAGAAGGCAAGCAGTAATGGGAGACAAGACAGGGGTGGCACTGAGTGGAGTTTTTAATGGCCTGGCCACTCTTGGTAGGTGTGCAGCCTTGGCAAAATTCCCCAACACATTCAGCTCAACACCACACAAGCAGTAAGAAGAGAGTACTTTGTCATAACCTCTACAGAACTGGGAAAATGGTGCTACAATTTAAACAGTTAATATTGACTTAAAAAAAAAAAAAACACCACTTGGTTTTCATGTAAGTAATTAGAATCATCAGAAATGAATGCTTGTTTTTAATCATAGAATGTCTGGGGTGGAAGGGACCTTCAAAGGTCATCTAGTCCAACCCCCGTGCCATAAGCAGGGACATCTCAAACTAGATCAAGCTACTCAAAGCTTCATCCAGCCTGAGCCTGAATGCCCCCAGGGATGAGGCCTCCACCACCTGTCTGGACAACCTATTCCAGTGGTCTGTCACCCTCATACTGAAGAACTTTTTCCTAATGTCTAACCTGAGTCTACCCTTTTCTAGCTTAAAGCCATTACCTTTCATCCTGTCACTACAAACCCCTGTGAATAGTCCCTCTCTCCAGCTGCTTTCTTGTAGGCCCCTTTCAGGTACTGGAAGGTTGCTATAAGGTCCCCCCAGAGCCTCCTCTTCTCCAGGCTGAACAACCCCAACTCCCTCAGCCTGTCCTCACCGGAGAGCTGCTCCAGCCCTCTGATCACTTTTGTTGCTCTCCTCTGAACACGTTCCAACAGCTCCACGCCCTTCTTGTGCTGGGGGCTCCAAAGCTGGACCAAGACTCCAGGTCAGGTCTCACCAGGGCAGCGTGGCAGGATCACCTCTCTCCATCTGCTGGCCACACTTCTTTTGATGCACCCCAGGATTTGACTGGCCTTCTGGGCTGCTGCTGTGCATTGGTGTCTCATGTCCATTGTTTTTTTAAAACCACATTTTTTTTTAAACTTTTTCACGCACTTGACCCGATTCTCAGTTCATCCACACCATGCCCCTCAAAAGGAAGTGCTGAAGCAACATGCTTCCTACAGATAAGCTGTGTGAGAAAGCACAGCTTCACACCCCAGTGGGAGGAAGGGCAGGAGGAAAGAGGGCCCTTGCCCCGTGTCAAAGGAAACACCCTGGGCTGGGAGAGGGCAGGAAACAGCTCTGCGTCAGGCATTTCCTCTGCTGTGCTTTAAGATGAGCAGGCCCTGCAGTGATACTGAACACTCTACTTTTTAGAAAACATTATCTACTGAGAAAAATGGCCGCACTGGGTCAGACTGAAGGTCCCTCTAGCTCTGACTGTGGCAGCAGCCCAACAGAAGATGCTTAGCAAGAAGAAAAGGGCAATGCAGGTGCCCGAAACCTTCACGTTTCACATTGGTGTCAACACCGGACGTTAAAAGTTTGACTGCAGACTTCCCAAGGGTAAGTAGGTGGTGGGGAAGACAGGTTCAGAAATACTACCTTCCCCATTGTATTTTCAGATCTACATCTGCTAGGAAATTTACATGACTGTGCAAAAACAACTTCTAGAATATTCCAAATAATGTGCACACGTTCAGCTCATGAGTTGCACCATTTCACAGGAACTACTAGAAATGGAAATTAGCGTTTATTTCTAAAAGAGACACCTAACATCTATCATTCTCTGCTACCCTAAATTGAAAGCTCAGGAAAAGCCCATGTGCCTACCAGCTAGGCTGAGCCACGGTGCTATGATTTCTCAGTTCCTCATAGTGCTCTGAGTCTTCTGTACTTAACCCTTAATTTTTCATATGCTCTCCAAAGTTAAAATTCAGTGGCATTAGTCCCAGCCTAGCACAGTTTGGGTTCACTGTGACTGACAGGACCTACCGATGTACTTTGGATAACACTGGCATCATACACTCTGACTTACTTCCACTGTCTTTTTTTTTTGCACCAAAAAAAAAAAAAAAAAAAGTTAATTTTGTGATATATAAATTAATCATGCAAATACAGATTTTTAAAAGTACCATGCTCATCTATAATTTTTCTCTTTCTGAAGATGTATTATATATGCAGCACAACATCTTGCCAAGACCAACCAGAATTTTAATCCCTCACATTCATGAGAACAAATCAACCAAGCAAAACTATATGAGGATCAAAATCATTCCACCATGATTATGAGCAAATAGAAACTAGTACTGCTTCATACACTGCTGTCTGAAAGAGAATTTCTTTGTTTTCAGCTTGCAAGTTAAAATCAATGGACTGAAAAAGATTCTCAAGAAATAAGTTTACAATGTGGCAGAAGACAGGGAATGAAATGGGATCATCTGAGCTGAAGATAAATTGTATCTCTGTGCTGACAAGAGATTTCAGTTTCTAATGAACTAGTTTTCAACACTTCAAATGGAACAAATGTGGAAGAACAGGGAGCTCAAGGACACAAAGAAGCTGCTGTAGTCCACAAGTAATTTGAAGATTAACGCCATTTTCAAATCTTATTTTCTGCCTTTATATAAATACCTGAAAAGAGGAAAAGAGAAAGTCCTGGAGAACAGAACATTCTGTTCAGACTGTCACGACTCCTCAGCATTTCCCAGTCTCAGCTCCATAAAATCACTTCAGACTAAGCACATAAAACAGCCACCAGTACAAACATGCATAAAGATCATTAGTCTCAAGATAAAGGTGACGGAGAGAAAAACATCACTGTTTAGGAAATATGAAGACTGAAGTTGCTGATAATACATTTAGGCAAGTTGTGCATATTTCTTATAGGCACAACATACACATATTAGCATATATGTAAATAAACTTAGCTAAACTACAAAGGGCAGAGAACCTCTGTAAGGTTACAGAGGTTAATTTGAACTTTTTTTAAAAATTATGAGATACCCAAAACATGATTTGCCTGCGTCACAATTGTTGCAGGTAACAGTCTGCTTCATGAGAACATCTCAATTTGATAAATTTTGTCTTCTTCAGATCTAGAGAAGATGAAATGACTGATTTTGCTTTTCAGTTAACGGGAAGGTATTATGTCGCAACTTAAATTCCCCTATTCTTCCCTACAGAGTTATTTAATACACTGTCTACAACTGGCTGTTGACAGGAATCAGACCTGCTGTTTACTGGCAAGGTAGAGAAAGGAAACAATTTAATGGAGCAAGATAACTTTTGTTCAACAGCTACAAATAAGCAAAACTATCTCCAGTGTGCAAAGCAGAAATAGGAAACCAGGTTCTCTTGGCAAGTGTTACGCAAGCTGTTTTGTGTCTCTTCATCATCTGGATTCTAGGTCCACACAGTGCTCCCTTCCACTCTGTAAGGAGCAGGCATTCACCTGAGTGTTTACTTTGTTCTCCAAACCTGATGGACACAGAGCCAAAGCAGAAGCACTTTCTTCATTCTACAAGGGACAACCCTGTCAATTCAGCATCTCTAGAGACCAAGGAAGCAAAGAAACATGGAGACAAATGCCGATCTAGAAGAATGTAGAAGCTACAATTTATTGAGTTTGGTTTCAGTATTTGCTACAAACTTACTTTTTTTTTAAATGCTCATCTTTTTCTAAAGCCTAGGAAAACCTCCCTATAACCTGTAAAATGTTTTCTTCTCACACTACAAATGCTGGTGCCTAAGTAACTTTCAAGTCTCAGGAGCCTGATGTGTTAATCTAATCCACAGAGCTGCAACTGACTACTAGCCAACAACCTCTGCTGTCTTGAAAAATCCTTGGCTCCAAGCTACGTGCCCAAGATCCACCAAGAGAGTTAAGATATTTGAGTGACATGTCAGAAAGCAGTTCAACAGGGACTTGCTTAAATGAGGTGAAATGTGTATCAGTATAGTTTAGAAAGGCACCTGTCTCTACTAACGATCTCAGCAGTGAAGTTCCCAATCAGTATCACTTTTTGTACTTTGCAAGATCATCTGAATCCCAGATCTGGATGGGAGACTTCACTGTTACTTACAGAGGCAGTGCTCACACTTGAAACAGGCAGTTCTAACATGTCATTCATTAGACCAGCAGAGTAAGGATGTTCTATAGCAAGTTTTCCACTCTATGATGATTACCAGCAAAAGTGCTAAACCAAACAAACATCACTACTGAACACATTATGAGCCTACAAGAGAACACAGGTCAACTACAGCATGCAAGATTAAGGTCTCGGCATTTCTACCTTTGGTTCCTATTTGGGAAAATAAAAGAATAAAAATCAACTTTAGTAATGTTATGTTTATGAACTAAAAATCTACAGAGTAAACAACAGAATATACACTCTTCCTTACCTGCATGTCTGAAATCAGTCCTGCTATCTGATTTTGTTGATTGTCTATGACCTAGAATATAAAAATTAATCATTTAAAAGGCTTGAATCTCTTCAGAGGCTTTTTTAAAAATGAGCTTACAGCCATGTAGCCACAGATTTCAAATAGAATCTTTGAAAATGTAAATGACAATGCAATTTAACTCTGACAGAACAGGAAATTCATGCAAAATCAACATACTGAATGGAAACAGGTATTGAAAAGAAATCTCAATTGGCAACAAACGTGTAATTCTTTAGTGAGGTATTTATTTCTAAAGTAAAAAAAAATAAACAAATGCAAGAGTCAAGGTTAAAGATGCCACTAGCAGATCATCTGCAGACTAACCTTACTGGCTTTCTCATTCTTCTCTCTGAGGCATTCGTTCTCACTCTGAAGCTGCTTTGTGTCCAACATGGGAAGGCGAATACCATCTTCCAGGCATTTTTCTACTTTCTGTTGTAAACTGCCATTCAACATAAAAGAAAAATTAAGTGCACTTGCAGAAATCAGAAGGGCTGTGTGTTCTACTGAAAAATTAAGAAGTTGAACCATCTTCCAACTAGAACTGCAAAACCATACCTAGCAGAATCCAGCCTTACGAATGAGCAAGCCAAGAGTGGGTGAACAATGCAAAAATCCTAAACTACTGAAGTTACCACAGCACTGACAGGAACAGATTCATGTAGAAATGGTTTTACGGGCCCAATTGTGTGCTGCAGCTCCCAAAAGACACAGCTCCAGCAGTGGAGCCTAGGCAGAGAGGGCAGGGGGGAGGCAAAGAAAAGCTTTGCAGTGTTCATAGCTGCTCTGTGCAACTGTGGGAGGCAAAGCCAGCACCAGCATAGATCAGAGGTGTGTTTGAACCCCTCAAAGTTACAGGAGCTTTCAAATCAGACTCTTACTAGGGCATGTACAGCTTAAAGCTGAGTCCAGAATCAGAGGTTGCACTGAGTACTGATGCTCTATCCTTCATGCCCTTGGTGATTTCTAAGTGAGAGCATAAAGCCACTCCTGACAGCTGCTCCCACACAAGGGCATGACCTTCAGATCCTCTCTACCTCCACTTAAGCTGCTAGGTGTAGCTAGAGCCTTTGCCTGCTCACCTCCTCTCAGAAAGGAAATATATTTTATTAGTGTTAATCTTGCTGTCTGATTTAGAAACTAGAGGCGACCTCAACTATCTGCAGGCTTTCAGAAAAGACAAAATGATCCCCCTCTAGATTATGAAGTCACGAAGAAAAAAGGCCTTTCACTGGTAAGATGGAAACAATGCATCAACAATCTGGCTGGCAAGGTGTCCCAACCAGTTTGACTTTCATCATGGAAACACTTTCAGACTCCTGTGGCATGTACCTTTACCCAATCAAGGGACAGTGAACTGCAGTAACATCCACATAAAATAATAAAAGTGATCCTCCTGCTTCCCCCTTTCCCCTCCCTTTTTAAAAAAAACATGTTTAAGTAGCTGTCCTCATTTAAAATGTACCACAGTAGAAATGTCTCCATGTCTCACCTTGAACCTTCTCGTGGATATCTGTCCCTTTTGTTTTTTCATAGTTATGCAAGTTCATAGCTGTGCTCCCTGTAAATACCCCCACCCTCAATGAAAGGGTAAGAAACAGCTGCAATTTTTGACCCTTCCTGATACACCCCATCAGTCAATATCCAGGAAGCGCTTCCACAGCTCACAATAGGATTAGTTATCAAACAGAAGTGCTGACAGCTTCTATACAATGCCCCTTTGGGGCACATGTTTATTCCACTCTCTATCTGGCAGCAGGCTATGATGCCATTGCAGCAGGGTCCCCACATCTTGAAAACAAGAGAGCCAAGACTGTCTCAAGGCTAATTCTTCTCTGCAGTATTACTTGCAACTTGACAAAATAAAAATCTTGGATTTTCTTATGCATTACACCATCTTTCTGCACAGTAATATATTTATGCCATGAAAAATCATTAGCGTGAATAGAGAAAGTGCAAAGATCATCAGGTGGGAAAGCACACTCATTTTGGGGCACAGCCCAAGCTGCACTCTTCATACCTCTGTACTGTTGTGACCAGTTCTTTTTCCTTTTTCTTCTGGCACACCAGTTGCAATTCTCTCTCTCTGCACTGTGATCGAGCCTCTCCAAGCTTCTTTTCTAACTCAGTCATAGTTTCTTGAAGTTGCTTGTTCTTCTCTTCTAGAATTTGAAGCTAACACAGGTTACATTAGTCAGACACGATGCCACATTAGCAGAAGGCCTTGTGGCAAGCCACAGCCTTGTGGTTACCTTCTGTATAATACTAGGCCCATTTCACTTATTTGACTACGAGGATCCCTAATAGCTACAGTGCTTTCTAAAACACTGAAACACTTCTCTTCCTCGACAGACCAGGAGGGGGGGGTCTATACTGAAACAGTGGAAGATGTGACAATAAATGTTAGGGAGCTTACTTGTATTTTCAAAACATAAAGCAAACTGCCTTTACCTTACCTGTTTAGCCTGCCCTTCTATGTCATCCAGTGTTGGCAGGTCAGCCAGATATTTTTCTAGGGTTTCAATTCGTCTCTGTTTTTCTTTGTTTTGCTCAGATTCTTTCTGGCATTTCTTTTTCAGGCTATTAATATATCGGTCTCTAGTTTTAAGCTAGAAGAAAGTAAGAGTACATGTTTTACAATTACAGTGAAAAATAAACCTGCTTTGTAAGATTCTGGTCAATCTTCAAGAATTGTACTCTCAGCTACATGAAGGAGCAGACTATTGCAGAAAACACAACCAAGAATGATTAAACTCAGCAGCTTTAAGTTATAGACCTGCATATGACCTCAAACAACAATTGCTTCATCTCTGCCCAGAACACCCCATGTGCCTGATGAACCCAGAACACAGGCAGTTCAACAGTTAAAATATACTTGTTTCATCAGGGGAGATGTTCATATGCAACAAATGATCACGGAATATCTTAGTCCCATCCTCTTCCTCTGGCCTAGGAAAAAAACTTAAAACACAAGAACCAACAAGAACTACAGCCAGAAAGCTGATTTTGATTCAGTCTGATAAATGCATCAAAGGATGTCGGAACAAAATAGTGGCATTTTTCAAAATCTTTTCGACAGGTATCTTAATTGTCCATCAGCCTGCAAAAGGTTTGTATATCATTTTATCTTTGCTTGCATTCCTGGTACATACTTTATTACCTAGGTCAAAAAAGCAGGAAGGAAGGTAGGAAAAAAGAGTATTTCCCAGTCAGAGTCCTGTTTGAAGAAAAAGAGCATCTCCATTGCCTGAACTAAGGTGCAGTAATTCACAGGTAACAAATACTTGTCACTAGAGTAAATATTAAACGTACTTCTATTTCAGTGAGTTACAGAGCTCAGTAACAGAGCTTATTGAAAAGTTTAAGTCAATAATGTCTGGAAATTTTTTCCAGAGATACCCTTCTATTATGGGCCACAAAATTGATGATTGCCAAAAAGCTGGAAATCTTTGTATCTTTTAGTTTATCACCACCCAAAACTGAACAAAGGTTTCAGACTGCTTTAAAAATCTTTCTGATTAGAGAGAGCCCATGTAAATCTCACATTCTGTAAGGCAAAGCTGCAATTCAGCCATGATCTTTTGCCACATGTGCTTCAGAACCACATATAACCCCCTACACCCCAAGTCTTAAGGCAGTGCTATAGCTACACACATCTAAGCTGATGTGGCACAGGAATCTGACCACTGGCTAGGTGAATCCCTTCCCTCTGTTCCTCACATCCATTAAGGGTGACAACTAGACCACTTGGCATACTCCAGTACCTATGCAGCAAAGATTATATGGTGTTTCAAATCTTCTTGTCCAACATACATAATAAATGGAATTTTCTGTTCGTGCAACCTCTCTCCTAATAGCTACCAGGTTTGCCTTAGGATTCCTCCTGCTCTCTCTGAATCCCCAACATCAGCCCAAGGACTCTTCCGATCTTCTGTCACCTGAGACGAAAAAAATTGCATTTTTTTTTTTTTCCATCCGCCCTTGTTGACTCTGATGAGGGAAAAACAAGCTTTGGATTTTTTTTTTTTTTAAATTTCCTCTTTCATATACACACGGCTGATGACTTTGTTGTGACAGGAAAAGAACAGGAAAGCTCTTGCCCCTTGGCAATTAAATACTAAAAGGAAGGCCACAAAAAATCGTAGAGGAGAACACCACTACAAGCTGTCGGCAGTCCCTTACAGAAGTCCTTCACAATCACCCATAGCAGAGGGAGAAGGAGCAGCCCGCAGGGTATCACTACCTGAACTGAAGCATCAGAACTCAAGTGAGGGCTGAAAGACCCGCAGAGTCCAAGAGTCACATCCACGTCTGGCGTAAGGAAGAACCTGGGCATTTGTGTCGTGGACACTGGTGGAGAACCCTGCAGTATCTACCTCAGCAGGCTCCCTCAGCTAGGAAGCTGTGAGGAGCTACTATGACCATGACAGCTATGACAGGGAAGCTTATTCAAGCTTCTGAAATTTCAGTACCAGTTAAAGAGCTCTCAGTCACCTCACTCCTACACTGACTACACATGGAAAAAAACCTCTTCAGGCACTGGAATTATTCACAAGGTGGTATAAACACTCCCTTGTCTAGTAGGTCTGCATGGGAAAAAGACAGGTATGATGCCAGCAATGAACAAAGAGCATCTCTGATTTCTGCTGGCCCTGCAGTTTCTCAAAAGGAAAGCATCAAGAACATCCACCCTGACATTAAAAGGGACACCACTTCAGAACAAGAGGTCTTCTAGACAGGTATCTCATCTTCAACAGTATCCATAAGCTGCTATCTACAGCAGGGAAAGAACAAAGAAAGCACATTTTCCAGCCTACAACTGTGTTTACCTTAGGGGCTCTCCCCAGGCAGTTTTTATTTCTGAACATTTAGAACAAGGCAGCACTTCCACCAACTAATTCATTTTTCCCTTGAGCTCACCTGTATCCTGAACATCCACAACAGCCTTCAGAGCCACAATCCATAGGTTTGCTATAGAGAGCTAGCATGAGAAATCAACCCCTTTTCTGGTCATGTACTTGGCTCCCAGATCTTAGCTAGATGTTCCCTTGTCCTGCAACAGGAGCTGTGGTGAGGAGCTGACTCCCCTCCATCCCTTCCAGGCTGCTTCAGACTCCATCATGCTTCCCTTCAGTTGCTTCTTCTCCAGTGTGAAGATTTAATCATTCCTCCTGTGATTTTTCTGACTGATACCTGCTTTGTTGTCCTTCCCGGAATCTATTTCCGGTTCCACTACATCCTGGTTTTATGATAGGGGAGACTTCTCACCAGTGACAAAAGACAGTCAAGGAATCGGGAGTGTTCCTTATGTTTTTTGACTCCCACGTACACCAAAAATTCACAGATTGTCCCTTATTGTCAATACCATATCATCTGTATGCTGGTTTTAGGTGTTGTATGTTAAAAACTCCAGTGTAGGAAAAAAATATTATTTGTAAAAGTAGGGCAGACAGAAGCAGAAGTGTGTGCCAGTAACCTTAACCTAAACTTCTATGTGTTGCTTCAGCATGCACTTTCAAGCAAAGCTCACCTGAACATCAACTGCATTTTCCTCACTCCTGGCCAAAATTTGCTTTGGGCTGGAAAAAAACCCTCTCCAAAGGGGCAGGCATTAGCTCAGAAATAACTCTAGCACAGCTATTGGCAACAACCCCTCTTATCAACACAGAAAGTGTTTCTGTTGCTTAACACCAGCCCCTGACCTGGGCCACACAGCATTCAGACTCTGGGCTGATCTCCCCGTGAGCACAGCAGAGGCACTCCAGAGAAGGCTGTCCCCAGGCCCAGCCCCAGCCCACTCCTGGGGTTCCCAGCCTGCCACCTCCCTGCAGAAACACAGCACAGCTCATTCCTGCCTCCGCAGCCCTCCCTCAAGCAGAGGGCACCAATGTCACTGGGGAAGCACAGGCCCTCCTTCCCTGCCCTTTCTCTCCTGGCTCAGTGCAGGGAACGGGCGGGGCTAGGTGCTGCACAAGGACCCTGCAGTGAATGAATCGGGCTCCCACCTACATATCAGCCCACTGCCACCAGCACTGCTGCACAGCTCCTCACCACTGCCACCACCTGCGGCAGCAGGGTCCTACACAGCCAGGAACACAAGCAGTAAAAGCCACGACAGGAGGAAGCAGCAGCACCCTATTTCTACCCTTCCTGAACGTTATCCTTAGCAAAAAATATAAGGCAGAGTTCACAGGAAATAGCAAGGTAGAATTTGAGATGAATTATGCTTTCTTATCTTCCCATCTGTTGCTTCACTGCATCATACTGCTCTTCTTTGAACCTCCAATAATATAAATCTAATCCCAGTAGAAAGGCCCAGCGTTCAAAGAAGAGAAGGTAACAATGACAACATGCCCCTAAAACATGAACTAGGAACCACTTGCTTAATGGCACATTCCAGTGTGCAGTAAGGCAGGCTGCTGGGACATTCAGAACTGTCCATGGGTAAAGCTTCAGCCTCCAGAGAAACCCCTTGTCAAGACAGTTCCAAGAATGCAGCCATCTAAGCCACTTCCTTGTCTCAAACTAAAAAAAAAAAAGGCTACAAGAGAATCACTCCTGCTGAGAAGGCACATATAGGCTGGAAAGTGCACTTCAAAGGCACAAGGGATGCATTTCCAAGCTATGCTAGAAGTAGGGAGTTAATTTTCACACCCTTTCTATAGTTTTAAATACTTTATTTACTGTAAGCTACATGAATTCTTAGGGCTGAGCAGCTTTTCTTCAAAGCAAGTTTAACTGATACTTAGTTAAAACCATCATCATGATTGTCATTTCGTATGGTATTGCCTTTTCAGACATGTTCACTATGAGTTCAGATTTATCCATTGCCAACTCCTACAGTCAATAATTATCAATTGTTCTCTCACAGATAATTCTGAAAATGGCTCAGCATCGCACACGCTAAGTTGCTTTCTAGCAAAAAAAACATATGCTGCTACAACAGTGTCAAAAGGAAATGTGGAACACGAAAGACACTTACTTTCTCCTCCATCTTCTTCTTCTCCTCACTAGATTTGTTTGAAATTTGTTTTACAAGTTCACTGAGTTGTAATTCCTTATTCTCAGCTGCTGCAATCTTTCGCTCAAGCTCCTCACGGTGAGATGCTGATCGCTCTGAAACGTGAGGTTGTAGTGGTGTGCTTTCATATTGGGGTTGCTTACAAAAAGAAATAAAATAATTGTATAAATGAACATGCACATCTCATGGTACACTTGAGAAACACAGCAGAAAACAGTCCTGCATTTTTTCCACTGTCAGCAAGGGTGGGGCTTCCATTTTCAAAACATCAGATTATGTGGTAACTTCATATATTTCAGGAATCTGGACTAAAAAATATAAAGAAGCTAACATCTTTACATTCACAACGCATGCAAATGAACATTGTGAGGCCACTTTCTCCCTCAAATTTATGGAAGCAGTGTGACTTCTCTTCCAAATGAAAACAAAAAGTGTTTTCAAAACAAATCACAGAATCATAGAATGTTAGGCATTGGAAGGGACCTCTAAAGATATCTAGTCCAACCCCCCCTGCCACAGCAGGATCACAGAGGACAGGCTGCACAGCAACACATCCAGGCAGGTTCTGAAAGTCTCCAGAGAAGGAGACTCCACAATCTTTCTGGGCAGCCTGTTCCAGTGCTCTGTCACCCTCACTGCCACTGCGTTATCACACCATCCCCTAGGAAGAAAAACACTATAAAATGGTTACGAATATATTAAAGAGATGCTTCAGTCTCAAGATCCTTCCAAAGCAGAACCCTAGAGGTATCACACCTGAGGTGTAGAATGGTGCAGGGACTAGCCTGAGACTACAGCTGTGATCAGGCCAACCTCCTACCTTGTAATTTATACCAAACCCCTCCTCCCTTTCCATTTCAGTATTATCCTTCTACCTCTGCTGCCCACAGACAGACAAGCACAAAATGGAAACCAGCTGCACGTGGGATGAAAAAGGAGATGCATCCCATTAGGCTCTCAGTTTCAAGATTATTTTAATAACAAAGTGATATCTTTAAAGACATTCTACAGACAGTATTTTAGCTAGTAACATTCCTTTGGCAAAGCATTAAGAGAGGTGAAAACCTCCATTAAAGGAGATCTGAATTTCTAAGTTAACCTTGTAGAAGGCACACAAATCAAGCAGAAATCCTAATACATTTAAACTTTTAAAATTCTTTAAATTACAGAAGATTAATACATTCACTGCTTTATTTGAAGGGTATTATGATATACTAAAATATATAAACTGAAATTATGGTTTCTGCAGTAACTTCTTTTTTTCCCCCCCCAAAATCTTAATCTAGACAGAATTTTCGTATGGAGTCTCCAGCCAAATTCCTCTCCTGTCTCACACCAGTCAGATTCTCACCTGATGCACAGCTGTGTTATTCCAAGGACATAACGTCATCTTGAAATGTAGTATTTGTGACAGAAAAAAATAAGGTAATAAAAAGGGGACAGAAAAGTTATTTCTCTGTGTATCTGCCTTCAATATTCTTTCTGCATTGCTTTTTAGATAATGCCAAGGTCTGGAGATGGAACTTGTCTGCTAGAACAGAGCATTAGCCACAGTCCTGAAACTGATCTGCATTTTGTGGTTGGCCCATACTTCCTCACTCTTACACTTTCTGATTATCTGTGCTAGTTAGACAAGAACTGGCACAGGTATGGCCAAAATACCATCACACACTACCTTTAGGTGTTCCCTAGGAATACTAATTCGTAGCCTCTTCAGGGGCCTTGTGCAAAGGTATTCCACCAGTCTGCTTGCCTTCTCACATCTCTTCCACCTAGTCTATTGATGCAATTTAATTGCTCCTTTGGGTAGTGCTGCCTCCTCTTCAGAAAACCTTCCATCAGATGTTTTCAGATACTCTCTTATCAATCTCCATTATCTCCTAATGCCTTCCTGTGTAACTGTGCTACACGCACACTGTTAATCTCTCATTCTTACTCATACTTATCAGATTTCAAAACAAATATGTACAAAACATTAATATAACAAATTTCTGCAAATGCAAGGTAAACTACAACACTTAGAGGATATTCTCCTCTATACAATTTATGGCTATGCAATTACACCATCACCAATAATCAAAAAAGCTCTGCAGTTTTGCCTGCATTAAATTGTGAACATCATTTCAGGTGTCAGTTCCTGGGCAATGGAAAGCTTTGCTGAAAGAAAAATACCCATCTTACCTGCAAATTAGTCATGTAAGGTTCTTCACAGTTCACAAGGTAGCTCAGTCTTGCATGTTGAGCTCGTAATTCATTCTCCCTTATCTTCTGACATAAGTTGTTAATTTGCTGCTTTTGCCTGTAATACACATTTTATTTGAAAAGGAACTGAACAGAGATTTAAAAAGCACAATCTTAAGACTGAAGAATACTGTAACAATATTATTCAGCTATCCTGGATCTACATTAGCTGTGGGCTTTTTCTCACCACAGCCAGACCGCAACTAGTCTAAGTTAACACTAGAACCAGAATGTCATCAGGATATGAGCTATTAAACTACAGCTGCCATGTAACTTTCATTTAGGCACACCTCAAAAGAGCCTGTGCTCAGTTGGCAATAATAAGCAAATATCATAGAAATACAAGTGGAAAACTCCATCAGTTTTGTGGGGGTTGAGGGAGGTTTCTGTTGTCAGTTTCTCCTAGGCCAGATGTATTAGCAGGAAAAAGTATACAGAACGCAGAATGTAAACAAACAGAACCTGCACCTTCCTTTTACCTGGACTTCTCCAGCTCAGCCCCTCTCTCTTTGCCAGAGCTGACTTTTGACACAGGTTAAAGAGATTTACCCATCAAGGGGATCAGAGAGAACTTAAGAGGAGAAGTCATTATATAAGACATTTAGCACATCCTTCCTGCAAGATCTTCTCTTTTTGCTCTGCTTAAGGCTTTCTCAATCAACTGCTTTACATAAGATGTACCCTATCCCTAGGGTAAAATACCACACTGTGTACTTGGCTAGAATTAGCCTCACACCAATCACTTGGCCAGTATCACTATTATATCACTTCTTAATTATATCACTGTTTAAATCTTGACTGCATTCGAACTAGCATAGCTGCAAGGCAAATACAGGCCAGGTCTCAGCCCCAGCCCACACCACAACCCTGTGAGGTCTCGTGCTGTACTCTGTGGGTGAGGGGCAAATAACTGACCCCAGAATGGAGCTGTCAGCGCTCATCATAAACATACACAGCAACCTTCTCATTAAACTTAAAAACAATTTTGTGCGCTCCTTTAATTTCCATTTTCCTTCTTTTTTTATACTAGGACATATTTGCATGCAAGCATGAAATTGTTTCTCCAGCCTTCACCTCTAAGGCATGCAGTACGATTGGCTTGCTGGAAATGATGATGCTGAACCAAGATGACTAAACCTGATCTTCAGAGGAGATAAATGGCAAATACAGGTTGAACTTCAAAGGAGAAGACCTGCCTGCGCACACTTGGAAGAGGAAAAAGCAAATCCTCTACAACTACAGAGAAAACAAAACAAAACAATCAAAAAACCCACAAAGTTGGTTTGCTTTTTCCTAAATTTGGGGAGGATTGTTTAGGGAGAGAACCTTGCTAATGCTATCATTAATATATGAAGTATGTATTATATAATCCATAAACTAATGAAAGATATATTAGTTGAAAAGATGCCTACTGCAAATTTTCAGAGGAAAATTAAGATGTGAAAACGGAATTAAAGGTGATATTTTAGCCACACGTGTTCTCCTAGCTAGCCATCAGCCAACTGTATCCCAATTATTTGGTTAACAAGAGGGATTCAATATTTCAAAAATCATTAACATACTAGAAGTTATACTTTTAAGCTACACAAATCACAGAAGACATGATGCATGCCTACAGAACACCTTCCTTATGTTTCACTATTTTTACAGCTACAAAGAACAACAATGAATGAAAAACCAGTATAAACAAGTTAAAAATTTGATAGTACCTTAGAACAACTAACTACATGCAATTCATAAAAAAGAGCAACTGAATTTATTTACCTGACCCTATAGCAAGTCTTAAAACATTCTGTATAACCACCAGTGATTTGGAGGCTTCCCTCTTCCCTCCCAGTGTCTTGATGGAACAAGCTTGCACAAACATAAAAGGAGTATGTAACACTGAAGGACTCTGTAGTTCTGTACGATGGCACTACAAACAAAAAGCTTCAAACTTATTTTGGAAGAAGCAGATTTGAAGACTAGGTAAAATAACATGTTTAGAGCTTATAAAATCAAATGAGAAAATATAAAGCCTCCATCAGTTCTGCACATGCGTGGTCACAGATACCAAAATAATTTAGTATGAGTTGTCTTAATCTATGAACAGAAGTAAAATTTACTTTTTATCACCTTAGTATTTACTAGACAGATCTATTGAAATATTTGTGCCCTATGTGTTTGAAAAATTATTTATCCATTTGCCAGTTATCCCTTAAAGGCACTACATGATTTTCTGTTTGTGGCTCAGAGCACCTTAGCAGTGTCCTCCTTCACAGGCAGGATTTCAATAGCCTGAACTAAACACTACAGCCTGGAGTAAATATTTTAAAATATTTTTGAACTTCCAGCGTAGGTTAAACTAAATTACCATATATCCTTTTATAATCCTTCCCTACCCTATCAAATCCCTGCAGGAAAAAAGGTGAGACAAATTAATCCGTGATGAAACAGAGCTGCGCTAGCACAAAGCATAACCAGCTCGCTTCTTGTCACCCTGCAAAGCCCAAAACTGCACTGTTACAAAACCCTGCCAACAAAACACACCCCAGAAGTGTTCTATGGCTGTGTAGATCCTGCACGACTTCTTTGCATAACCACCTCCCTGAAAATACCATTAACCTCATGGCACCCAGAAACAAAAATTCAGCCCAGCAGTCACAAGTGGAATAGAAGATAAACACCATAGAAACATATTTACTATTTACATACAATCCAGTAAGCCTTTGGAGACTTCATACCAGATGCGTTTTACTGCTGATGTTCTCATGTACTAAGACAGTTTTAATCCTGTGTTAGCCCACAGCTGTTACTATTAATCCATGGCATAGCCACAGGTCGTGAGCTTTATTTAAAGGAGTGCAGAAAGTTTCAATCCTCTCACAAACACAGCTTGTGCACTACGGTGGGAACGCTGTCCCGAGAAGCCTTCTGACCACCAATCAGTCATCTCAGCAGCTAAAAACGACCCCAACCAACCAAAAAACAACCAACCTTTGATATTTAGGTGCTTTCAAATTTCTTCTCAGATGCATGGCAACTGCCACTCTAGGCTGGCCAAAACCAGATATAAATATTCTTGAAACTGAGGGACTTTGCCTTCTAGACAGTGAAGCTACTCTCATCTTGTGTGTTTGTACATCCCATGTTTATAACCTTGTAGGTATCCTCCATGTTTGCAGAGGGCCAGACTAGAGCAGATTAAAATTCTCTGTTGTGACCAGTGCTAGCAGACTCTTCCACTCTTCCCTTTCTCTGATCAGCTGCTAGCACCACCAAGTCTCCCCAGGGGTTCAAGATGGTTTTATTGGGGGTGGAGGGGTGTATTAAATTATCTTTTTTTCTTTTGCCGTAGACACTGGAGTTATGCAGCTGCACCTATCACTCTGACTTGACCCTTTTCCTATAACTTTCAACATAGGCATTTCCAATCACTCCATCTTTCCAATCACAATGTCTTCACAGACACTGAGCTCCTCAACCTCCTGTGATCCCAGAAGCCACCCGTGTATGAGTGGGTGCAGGCTGTGGCCTGAACTCAAGGCAGGGGCAAATTTGGCAGGAGCCCACCCTTGTGACTCCCATTTACAGAAAACAGCCCGCAGCTCACACAACCAAGTTCAGTGAAAATACTGCACCTAGGTTCCATGGCAACTGCTCTCCTTCACAAATCCCCTGTGTTGTTTGTTTTTTTCTCCTACAAGTGTTACAATTCTGTGCTGATGGGAAAGAGGAGTTACTGGTATATTACGCAAATACCACAAGAATTGTCACATGGTTTCATTCAACTCCTTTTTCCAAAGGGGAAATACTTTGCTTTGCTTCAAGTGTCTGTCTTGACACAATCCTTCCCCTTACACGAAGGCTGAAGGAGAACAGAAAAGGAGGCAATGCCCAATGCCCTGCCCTAAAGTCAACCAAATGAAGTTTGGTTTTCACAATAAAAAAAAAAAAAGTCGTCACAAAAGGCAGGAATGGAAAACATCTTTTTTGGAGATGTTACAAATGTTCCTTATTTAAATTGATGTTCCAAAGGAAAATGTCATTAAAAAATGTACAAACTAATTCTCCCATCCAATCAATTAATACAAACATGACACTGTTTTCACAAACACTTCTGGCATGAATCTTTCCAGCTGTCCCTCAAGGTGTAATATTGTCTCCAGGCATGGGAGGGAGGAGGGTGGTGGTGCAGAAGCAGACAGATAATAAGAGAATTGAAGGTCCTGTTGAACTAGAAGATAGTCTGCTAAATAGAAGACCATTGCAGTTACCCACAGAAGAGTTCTGCACTGAAGACACTGTCTTGTATTTTAATTCAGATATGATGATTTAAAAGCTTTTTTTTTCTCAGAAGCAAATGGCTTGTTGGATTTTTGTTATTATTATAATTATTACTTTTCTTCTACAAATTTCGCTGATACCCTGGACTATGCCTTTTCATCCCATTTTTTGAACCTCCAGACATAATTTATAAATATCCTGAGATCAAATCCTCTCTGTACTGCTCCCAGGTACCTACTTTCTGAGGGAACTCAGCTGAAGTGACAGGTTATCCAACACATATGAGTCAAGTGGTAGCTCGGGCTTTGTGATCCCCTATAATCAGTTCTTTTATCCCAATTCTCACATGTTAGTTATTTACATACTAGGCAGTTTATTTACAGAAAACTCTACTATTTTTGCAAAATAACAACTCTGGATTACTTTCAAGTCTTGTAAAACACACATCTTTTGCTCCACTTTCTATTTCCTGGAGTGTTCTTTATTTTTGTAAATAAAATTTCAAGACTTGCGTTTCCCTGTTGCAGATCAAAGATAATTTGTAAGGAAGGAATTGTTCAAAACCTGTCATGGCAGATCGTACCATTCTTACCTTTCCCTGTATTCCCAACTACACGAACTATCAGCACTAGAGACCAGGCTACCCAAGATCTTAATTCTGTGTAATTATTTTTATGGTGTTTAAGGAGTGTAGTTCTCCTTATCGACATCTCGCCTGTCACGTGTACTTTCATTCCCACACAGCAGTAACCTCTGTGTTGAGCCCAACAATTTAAATCAAACGAAGCACGT